GTAAAGCAGAGTCATCTAAGGCTCCATTCTAGTTCATATTTCAGTACTCATTTAAAAAGTAGTCACTTCTGGAAAAAGTTAATCACCAATGTGTCACACATTGTTTTCTTACAATGAATGTAATTCACATTTTTCAAATGTGAAATGAATGTTATTTCATGTTTTTAAAAAACAGGCAGCAACGAATGTGATCTGTACCTTTCGTGTGTTCAGAGGAGTAGGTAGTCATTACCTGTTAGACAGCGAAGAGTTCCTAGGATTATTTAGTTGTTTTCCAAACAAAGGAAAAATGCTCAGAGGGTATCATTAAAAAAAAAATTAAAAAATAACAGTTACAGGTTATTTGAATCACAAACCAGCATGGAAGGAAACTATCAAGAAGTAGATGGCTTTGTTCTTCCAACTGCTCACTCTAACTTACAGCCAGTAGTCATATTATTTAAATTCAAACCTCAAAGGATTTAAAACAATTGCAAAGTTAACCATTTCAATTGTCATAGTTGTCATAGTTGGATGTTGAGTTCTTTGGTAAATAGTTGTGGCTAGTTCCTAAAGCAAGGAGGGAAAATTTTCAGGATGTTGGATGGCACCGCTCTAGAGTTTATTCTTTTAAAGATTGATTTCTTACAATCATGTTAATGCTAACATTGCTTTATTGTTTTTGCTATAAAAAAACAATCACAAACTTTGGTTTTTGTTTCTTTACTGTTCTGAGAGACAGGAGTCACCGACTAGTCCCCAGGGGATGAAATCAAGGTGTGGACAAGGCCACACTCCTTGGAAGGGTTGAGCTGCTGGCTTTTTTCTTACAGCTTTTGATTGTTGCAGCATTCCTTGATAGGCAATCACTTCACTCTCATCCTGGCCTCAGGGGCCACAGTGCTTCCTCTGCCTCTGCCTGTGTAATCTTCCTCATCTGAGCTTTCTTAAAGGTGATAACCTAGGGAAAGGGAGTGCTCACCTGGATAACACATGCTACGTTCCTTATGCCAAGACTTTTTATTCCATCTGCAAACTTCTTTTGAGTGAGGAATTAGGATCTAAAAATCAGGTTTTAATGTCTTTGGGGGCCACTGCCCAAATAATTATAATGCAATTTTTTCAATTTGTATTTATTTAATTCTATGTTTCCACTTATCATATACTACGCTGATATCTATTGGCAGAAATGTTAACATTCATAATGTTTGCTCCATGGAAGGCTTCTTCTAGGAAAGTCCGGCCTCCTGTTTTGCTTCAGCTATTTCTTCTTCCTGTCTTGTGATTGTCAAAGCCCAGTTGTGACAGAAAATCCCCCGAGGAACCCAACTCTACATCTTACAATTCGACTTGCTACACCCATCGAATGTGTTGTCATATTTAAGCTGTGACCGAAAAGAGTCTTTCACTGTGGATTCTTAAATGACCTCATTTATAATACATAGTTTAAAATGATTACTTCTAAAGAAAAACATATTAAAAATGGGATATGTCTAGAGATCATAATGAAGGCTGTGTGGGAGACAGAGAGAGCAAATGAGAGAGAAAAATTGTTTTAAATGACTTTTAAAATAAATAAATAAATAAAATAAATAAATAAGGGCTGCACCCAGAAGTATGAGCACATTTTTTAATAAACACTTCAAAATAAAATAAAGGCAACAGTGGTGGTCCACAGTCCTAACCTCTCTAAAATGTCAGAAAAACATCATCAAAACTAAATGAGATATTATGAACATGCACTAAGAATTTAAAATTAATTTTAAAAAGTCTGGATTTGTAGATAAACGAGAATTCTCACAGAGCTTGTGAAGATTAAACCACTTTATAAAGACTAGTCTTTTTTCCCAAAGTTGAACACACACACACACACACACACACACACACACACACACACACACACACCAGTATGATACCATGTCCTCTATTGTATGTTCTTTACTGGGGAGGTATGAGTAAGCATCTCTTCACTATAGATAAGAAAATGAGGGCCTAATAAAACGATAACTCTACCCAAGCCTAACTTGGAGAACTCATGAATTTACTGAGTATGATATGATCAACTTACAGGCAGAAACCACAAGGAAGAAGTCTCTCTCTCTCTCTCTCTCTCTCTCTCTCTCTCTCTCTCTCTCTCTCTCTCTCTCTCTCTCTCTCTCTCTTTCTCTCATAGCTATATACTCTGGAGTAGAAGAGCCCAATGCACAAAAGTACTGCCTACTTTATCTCCCACCTTTTTTTTTTTTTTTTTTTTTGGTTTTTCGAGACAGGGTTTCTCTGTGTAGCTTTGCGCCTTTCCTGGAACTCACTTGGTAGCCCAGGCTGGCCTCGAACTCACAGAGATCCGCCTGGCTCTGCCTCCCGAGTGCTGGGATTAAAGGCGTGCGCCACCACCGCCCGGCTTATCTCCCACTTTCAACAGGAATACAAGTGGAAGAAACCTTGGGAGGGTCTTATACAGGTAAACATATCTGTTTTGATGTCAAGATAGTAAGAGCAGTGTCACATCTAGAGGACAGAGTTCCACAACTTTCTATATCTATACCATCAGAAACACTAACAGCCACTCTAAAACAAATAAATAACAAAAAAACTAAGCACAACTCAATGTTTATTCATTTGCATATTTGTTTATACAATAGAATAAGAGTAAAGAATTAATATTTCAAAAATACAGCTATTTCTAACAAAGATTTTAATAAAATAAACCAGTTGGATGATGCTCTATCTCCTGTGTCCCTGAACACTATAACACACAGTAGGAAGGACCTTAATTTATGTTGAAGTTGTGTGTGGGCTTCTCCCAGAGATCTAACTCATCTCCTTGAAATGTTACATACTTCCAATAAGCTAAATCTATCATTCTTTATATTATATATGGAACATACATATATGTAGATGTATATAATATGATGATCAAATAAAATTAATGTATGAACATTTAGATAATTCTCATGGCCACTTCATAGCATTCTTAAGAATTTGTCTGTGAACTGAGATATTATTTCATTATCTCCGCAGCTACTGCTTGCAAGAGTCTTTGCAACTAAATCCTCACAGACATGAAAGCTTTACATATTCTTTATTATAAAATATTAAGTGTTCCATTAATTTTAAGAAGCCTTCTCAAAAAAGGAAGTTTGCACTTTATGGTTATAGTGACTATTTATGTTTATGGATCTGTAAGAAATGATAGGGGAAAGTTTAATGGGCTGTTTCTTGCAGAAAACTCATTCCCCTCCCTGTCCATTCCCAACATTTTCCCTCCTCTGTGCAATTGACAGAATAGGAAAAACATTTCCTGGAATGACAGGAAAACATAATACTGGAGATTTAATGTTATGAAGCCAGTTTTGCAGATAGAATTTATATTATCTAGCAGCTTCAAAAATGTAGCAATCTTTAAAGTGACTTTGTGTTAGCATGAATTCACAAAGAAAATAAGTAAGGACATATCTTCTTTAAAAGAATCCATCATCAAGTTTGACCTGAATGAACTTCTACAGATAGAGGTTTGATGTGGTTGAGGTATTATGTAGGCAGAAGATGTAAATACAAATCAGGTAGATAAGAAGGCCCAGAGGAAAGGTAAAGAGGAGGCAATGGAGAAAGATGGGAAAGGAAAAGAAGAGGGCAGAAGAGAAAGAGAAATACATTAGTCTCCTATCTTTTATCTGATGTTTTGATTTCTACAGATTTAGTGCCCCATGTTCAACTACTTCCCAAAATATTCAATATTAAATTACAGAAATGAAAAAAAAAAACTTCTGAAGTTTAAACATCTTTAATTGCAGCATATTGTTTAATTGTTCTATTTTATTAGTATTGAAAATCTCTTACCATACCTAATTTATAAATTAAGCTTTATCACAGATATGTGTGCATAGCAAACAGCACTATATTTAAGATTCAACATTGTTGCACTTTTAGGTACCTACTGACACTCCCGTTGAAAATCTCGAACAAGGGTGGCAAGCAGAAAAAAAACAGAGAGCAGCCTTCCACTCCCCCCAAACCACATATTGGATCCATTAGATTTAGGTGTGACATAGTTAAGCACTTTTTAAAGATGGGGATTAAAGCACAATTAAATAAAAAGGAATTTTTAATGTAAAATTAAACTTATGAAAATGTAAAATACAACTGACATCACAACCCAGTGGTGGAGGCCAACAGGCTGGCTCAGCAGGTAAATGCACTTGCCACCAAGCCTGACGATCTAAGATCTTCATGACCATATGACAGAAGGAAAGAACCAACTCCAAATAGTCATCCTCTGACTACATACATACCCTGGACACACACATGCTTATACACATAAATAAATAAAAATTTAAAAACCTTAAAAATTCCAGTTGTTGACTTCTAAAGAAGAACGACAAGTCAAGAGAGCCAAAGTGAGCCAAAGGAAGCCTTCAAAACTGATCTAAGCCCTTCATCCAAAGCCAGAAGGGTGGATGGTGGGTAGGTCACATGTGAGTTCTCACTACTTCAGTGTAGTGAGCAAAATCACCCTTTACCTCTGTCACTTAATGCACTCTTTTTAAAATAACTTTTTTTGACACAAGGTCTCATTCATCTCAGCTCATCATTGTTGCAACCTAACCATGCAACTGAGGATGACTTTGAACTTCTGATTTTCCTGCCTATAAGTGCCTCGTGCTCTGATTATAGTTATCAACCACCACATCTAGACATGAGGTATTGAGAACAGAACTCGAGACTTGGTGAAGGCTTGCCTCCCCAGCACTCAGTTAATGTATTTTTTATATATGTGTTATATATTTATATCTTAAAAATAGGGACAACAACCCAGTCTATATACATACAGGTGTGTGTGTGTGTGTGTGTGTGTGTGTGTGTGTGTGTGTGTGTGTGAGAGAGAGAGAGAGAGAGAGAGAGAGAGAGAGAGAGAGAGAGAGCTCATTTTTTAAAGAGTGTAAGCAACTTAGAAAAAAAAGTTTGCTATTTCAAAACAGTTGGCCCATGACACAATTGTAAACTTGACACTTGGCACTCACAGTAAGAGCAGCCGTAGACTTCTGCACGCAGACCTATGTGGCCTTCTCCATTCCAGTCGAGGGGTACGATGCGGACGTAACGGGCAACAATGGCATGCTGCAGGTCATGCCGGACCACACTGTCAGAATTGACATTTCCAGGAAAAGCCTGCAAAGAAAAATGCATTTAAAAACCCATGAAGAACACCACCGTGACAAAGGTATATTTTCTTCTCCAGTGATGAAGTTTCATTTTCTCACATCAGAAACAAAATGAAAATAAGGTTTTTCATTTCTTTTATTTAAAAATTCACTGTTTTGGTGCTTTGGGGAGATAACTACATAGGTAAAACACTTGCCATGCAAACTGAGGATTGAAGACTGGGTCCTAGAATTCTTGCAAAAGTTAGCAGATGTGGGGGCCTACAGGAATCCCAGCACTCCTGAGAGATAGGATCCCCAGGGCAAGCTAGCTGGCTTGACTAGTAAAAGAGGCAAGCTCCTAGTCCTGTGAGAACCTGCCATGGGAAATAAAGAGGAAAGTAATGGACAAAGAGACCAAGAATCAATGTGGGGCGTCAACCTCACATATACAGACATACACATGCAACACACACTTTTACATTTGTGGGGAAAAGAAAAGCAAAAACAAATATTATTTTAAGTGAAAAATTGGCCAGAGTAACCAGATATCCCTTTATACACAAAAATATCTTCCCAAAGAACTACCGCAGGCTCTATTGTTATTTCATATGACAGCTGTCAGGGACAGGAGAACCAGGTGCATCTGTGGTGACAGTCTACATCTGGGAAAGCCAGAAACCCCCAAGAGTAGCCCTTGGGTGGTTTGGTTATTCAGGATACCCTTCAGTTTCTTTGATAAACAACTGGAAGAGTATTGGGTAACACAAATATGTCTGAAAGCATGGAGAATGAACGTCTACCTATACTGAATTTAGGAGTTCACCATCTGCTGGAAAATTTGAGAAGTGTAGGGTATCCAGCTCACCAAAGGGTAGTGTAGCATTTCCTAAAGGTTAATCAATATAATGATTCACTACAATATAACACTCAGCACTTCTCTTCAAATCCAAACATGCTTTGAGATTTAAGACATGATCCTAACTGAAGTTTTGTTTTTTCTTTCTTCTATTTATTGAAAAGAGATTGGTTTTTTCATACAATACATCCAGACTATGCTTTCTCTTCCCGCAACTGCTTCCATCTCCTCCCCACCTCCTCACACAGCACAATCCACACCCTTTCTTTCTTGCTTCGATTAAAAAATAAACAGGCATCTAAACAAATAATGAAATTAAATAAAAACAAATCAGAGTAGGACAAAACAAAATAAAGAGCCAAAGAAAAAGCGCCAGAGACACACATTTGCACACACAGAAACCTGAAATTTTAATCACTGCAGAGAGGAGGCCTTCCCATTCATGTTGTAAACCATCCAAAGTGGTAAATATATCTCAATATAGTAGTATTTTTAAATTGTAAAAATACAGAGAGAGGTGCAGCCAAGAATTTAACAAAATAACCCAACACTTATATAATATGTTGTTATTTAGAGATTTTGTACATTCTGCATTGTTGTGCCCTATAGAAAACTAATTTTTTTAAGTATTCTATTTTCTCTGGTCAACATTTGGACTCACAGAGAAGAAATGTGATAACTGGATGTTTAACGCCTAGGCAAGGGAAACCAGGGCGAAGTCACAAGCTCATCCATCTGTTTACTTTATTTGAAAATTATATTTTCAGATAGAAATAAATGCATTTTCTACTTAGGCACAATACATTTTATTTTGATATTATATACTTGAATACAAAAATTGAAAGTCTTATTGAGAATTTCTGTCTCCCACACTGCCATTATTAAATTGATATCTGTCTTGTCCTTCAGATGATCCGTTTAACTTGTGTATTTTACTTTTCATTTTTGTTTCCACAAATTGTTGACATGATCAATATTTTCTCTTTTGACTCATTTTTTTAAGAAATATGCTTCTATTGTGACCATTGGCACCAATATCACCTCCATCATTTTGTTATAAGCAATTTAAGTCTGAATGGCCTTGTTGAATAAAATGTAGACTGCCCATCAGAGCTTGTACTGCTTCGTAATTAAACTGCCATTGGTCTTGGAAAGTTGTTCTAAGGTAATTTCATTCTTTCTCTGATTGCAGTTTTTCACATAACTATGAAAAAGGGAAGAAATAAGACACAGACTAATTTTTTACAAAAATATTAAGATTTGGAAGTCTGCTTCAAAAATTGAACATTGAAAAAAGCTTGAAGATTTAACCTATAAAATAACACCATTTAAAATTCAACCTTCATCTGAACAGATACTATATAATAATAAGAGCTTTCCAGAGGCTCGAAAACACCAGCCAAATTTATCACTAAAGACTAAAATAAAAAATCAATTTACAGAAACCTGTTGGTTGTATGCTGCTGCTATTGCTTTTTTTCTGTTGGCTGTGATTTGTATGTTTGCACAGGGTAGGATATTTTTACTATTATTATTTTGGTTAACACAGCAGTCATGTAACTCACAGTGCTTTATAATCAGTAACTAGCAACATAATGCAATACTTTATTTTGCTGTTACTCTTAGACTGACAACCCTATAAATTGCACAAACACAGAGAAAAGATAATTTTCAGATACATTGTAAGTCCCTCACAAGATTAACTTTAAACTAATCAATAGCACTGAAGTTTTTTTAATAATCAAAAATTTTCCATGTACACTAATTATTCCTATGGCTCACATGGTAATTCAGATGGTCCAAGATGAGAAGCAAACATTTCCATAAAGTACCGTAAAGTATGTTTTCTAGGTTTAGTGTTCAGCGTATTTCTCTGTCTTATGTACTTTGCACTTTAACAGCAACTTATGAAATGTATAACCTGTCCTTTCTTGTCTTGCAAACAGTAAAATTAAGAGTAGACCACAGTTGGCCGATGTGGTGGCTACATTTTACCAGCTTCTCTCCTTGGATGATTTTGTTTTCCTTTTGTGGGGTGGTGTTAAAAGCAATCTGGGACTGGGTGCATGTTTGGCGGATGCTGTAGCAATGAACTATGTCATCACCCTCCTAAGAGACTGAATCAGTAAAGTATGTGCTGCATTCAGACACGATCCCAAAGTCAACATCCCTCAGCGGACGGCTTTGTCATTACTTGGCATTTAAAAGTCAGTAAACTTAGAGAAAGAGTTTTAAACCATTGAAGCATGTAACTCATTAGACTGAAGATTTAGACTAGTGCTCTGTGTGGTATGTGTGAATTAATGTTTCCCCTCAAATGCACTACCATGGGGTCTGAGATGTGACTTGTAACGTGTTTTATGAATAGAATAAGTATATTTAGTCCTCATAAAACTTCCATAATTTTTTAAAGAGACTTTACAGAAAACACCATAACATACCCAGCAAACTAATGAGATGTTGTATCTTAAAGATTTTGCTTAACAAAAATTGAGCCTAAAACCCAAAGCCTTTGTGTAAATTGGCATGGATAGACATCGCAACGGTGCTGAGAGCAGTGAACTTAGGAGATTGCAGGGGGAACACAATAACATCAAACATGTGCTTCCTAATGTGGGAGATGATGTACCAGTTGAAGACATCTCTACTTCGGTAGAGACAGTGTCTATTCTTCATTTTGATACTGTAAACTGTGACCACTATGATCATTTCACCTGTAATTCTATTTATTTGTGGTTTTATTTTTATTTCTCCATTCGAACAACTTATATCTAAATGGAAAAATGAATCTGCCATTTTGTAGCGTCACTATGAGTTCCCAAGTTATTCTTGTCGAGGCAAACATATAGAATGTCATTCTTGGTGTGTTGCACCTCTTGCCACTCTTTCTGGCCTCTTACCCTGCAATCTCTCCGTTCTCATTGTTGTTATCCAGCAGGTCACACACATCCTGACGGTACTTTCTGACTATAGGTATATTCCCTGACCACGCTTCTCAAATCCCAGCTATAATAAGGGCACCTCATGGAATTCTAGACTATACCTATTTGGTCCCTCTGCATTGGACTCCTCAAGTACAAGGGGCCAGTGGTCAACAACTACCTATTTACTTCTTCATGAAGTGAAAGAATAAAGCCCTGCATGCACCAAATCCTAGCCATTTATATATACATTCTTGTTATTTCTATTCTCTATTTATAGTTAATAAGCCTTATGCTTGATAATATCCTACAAGAAAAAAATAGATCATGCTAGTCTGTCTCAAGAAGACACTAGGGTAATGAATAAAAATTTCCTAGAGTTATGAGGTTGTCATTATAATTATGCAAAGTAGTGAGAAATCACAGGACTGTTGGAGAAACGGAAATGATCGTACAAAATCCAAAGGAGACACACTAGCAGTAAAACAAAAGTTAACTCTCTCATCCATCAAATCCAGCAGGCTCATATTGGACAGTCACTGGAAGTTTGCTGAAAATACATATTTGGTTCATGAACCAATGCAAATGTGAGACAAAGGTCAAGAGTTTTACCAGCTTGTGAGAGGCAACACTTTCTTGGGGAACTACCGGTCCTGACTTGATTGAATACACCTCTTCCTCTTAATTTTCTCAGCACTATGCAAGTACCTTAACATTATTTTACTAGATGATTAACATGGCCTTTCCTTGAATCTAAGACCAAGGATTTGCCTGGCTTCTTGCATTCAGAGTAATATTGGCAATATTTCCCTGTGAAGTTTGTGCATTGATACTTTGCTTTACTGAGTAATATTTTATTGTACAATCAAAAGAAAATTTGAATATTTTACATAGTACATAAAGCTGTGTCCGTCATGATAAAAGTGAGTTTAAAAACTGCTAGTTGATCCATGGTGAAGTCAGAGGTCAATAAGTAATTTCTCAGTTGGAAGGTGATAAATTGCCACAGAGTAGATAGGGAAAGTGGGACCCAATCAAGGAGGATATTAGAAAGAGAACTTTTGAGTTTTGAATGGAATTAAATGTATGATATTTGGTAAAAGCAGTTATCTATATGCTAATTCAAAAAATATATTAAAAACAAAAAACAATGTGTGTGAGAGCATACAAATGTGTGTGTGTGTGTGTGTGTGTGTGTGTGTGTGTGTGTGTGTGTGTGTGTGTGTATAGCTTTAACATCCCTTCTTT